TTCGTTTGGTTTTCTTAGGGGGGTGGGTCTTTTTTAAATATCGATGTTTTTACGCCTCGATAGGCAAAATTTAGATCATTTAGTAGGCGGGGTTTTGGCCTAGCCTGAGAGACCACAGTCGTTGGTTTTCCATCATGAGAATCTCCCTAAAACAGAACCTTACTCCAAATATGATTGAACTAGTTGTCAACAAATAGCTGCCAGACATCCGTTTATGACAAATGAGTACGAGTATAAGAGCAAAACTGGCATGCCCTGCTTGATTTTTTTATTGTTTTAGCGTTTTTCTGTTTTAATTCGTATCATTTATTTTAAAAGGTTGGTTTTCCACTGCCCAGTGAGGGTTTTTCCATTGTGGCCCGCAACCTTACATGTGATTTTAAGTTCTTTCCCTTGAGTGAATGGGTTGAGCTTCATTTCAGTCCTATAAAGAGTTTTACGACACTTGAAGCACAGATAGGTCATATGAGTACGGGAGTTTAGAGATGATCTTACTAGAGAGTAATATACCTAGAAATGAAAGAGGAAAAATAAAGAAAACATATATTTGAAAGGAAAGCAGGACCACACCACGCCACAGCAGTTGCCAACCTCTCACCGATTGAGTTTTACACCCTTGATGGTGTATGATCCTTTTGTAGCTTGGTCTTTCTAACAGCAGTCTTCAAGCAGTCAGTTCTAGGCTGAGCTGTTCATCAGCCCCCGAAACTCTTGTTACCAGTCGTTCAGGGATGTCCTGCTACGTTTTCTGGGAACTTCGGACTTATCTGATCCCACAAGAGGCATAGTCTAAAACTGTTCAAAATGTTCCACATTTTCAATAGTTTCGTTTTCACAGGTTTTATTCCCGTATTGCCATTACAGGGGGTGGGGGGGGGGGGGTGTTTTTGTTTTTTGTTTGTTTTTACGCGGTGGTTGGTGTTGGTTTTTTTTGTCTTCTTTTTGTTTTGTTTTGGATTAAAAAAAAATTTTTTTTTAAATTTTGGGGGGGACGGTTATGTTGGGTTGTTGGTTCTTTCTGTGCGTCAGGACTGGAAAGGTTTTGCTGTGATTTTCAGATGGACTCACGGAATGGAAGAGGATCTAACGACCGGAAGCTCACTAGTCAGCAGCAGATGTGTGTTTACGGACGGTAAAATTCGCAATATCCGTTACTCGGAAGTCCAGCTCCATTAGCGGGAGAGGTGGCAACCTTCTGAGAATAATAATTGCCAAGGCAATTGCCCTGCTCCACAGTTACGCCAACCTGTAAATTTCCCTATGTTTGTCTGATCTAGAATTCTAGCCCATGTTTGTTTGTTTGTTTGCTAAAAATTATAAATGATGACAGTGAAAGTTTGGATTTTGGGGGGTATTTTGTAAGATCTTGTATAACAGGTGAAGTCTAATTTTTTTTTTTTCAACTTGCAAGCTTGAAAAAAAAACGTAATTTTATTCAGACTGAAAACGCAGTAGACTAAGAATTTCCCCTCTCCGTCCACCTATTTCCTAAGCACCCTGTGTGTTGATAGACGAACAAGTGCCCCCCCCCCCTTTGACAGGTCTGCAGTAAGTCTGCTCTGTCATTTCCAATTTCCAGGTATGTTTGAGTGTCCGGGGACCCACTGCATTACTAGGTTGATGCCTCAGAATGTTATCAGAAGATGGAAGCCAAACATTATATGAGTCAAATCTTGGTTTAGATGATGGTCATTTTCTATGGCGTGTAAGACTGATAGTGAGTCAGTGAAAACCACAACACTCTGTGCTTTTCAAGTATCAGTGTCAAAAACTGTGCGGAGATGGTACAGCGCTGTTTTAATTGCCATCATTTATGCATCGTAGTTGCTGTATTTCTCTCCACAGGCTGCAGAGATCTCATTGGAACTTCCATCTGGGTACTGTATTAGTATTCCATATCCGGCTTTGGTTGTGCCTTTGAATGCTGTCGATTGTTCGATGTGATGCAAGCATCAGCGTCACTGGGTCTGAAGATTTTGTGCTCTTCTCTCGGAGAGATGTTGTAATGATTGTTTTTTTTAAAGAAAGGTGTTTTGGTTGACTCTTTTGATTGCTTTTCTGTTTTGTGGTAGATGGTGATTCTCCATTAGTTCTGTGATGTGATGCAATATTGACTTTTGTTGAATTCGTTTCTTTGGTTTCCATGTTTCTACTAATTTCCTGTTTGTGTGGTTGGGGCACATTCTTTTAGTTCTTTCATGTAGCTCCAAAAACTGCCTTATCTCTGCGGATTCCCAGGGGTTCAACATTTGAAAGGATTTCGCACGCGGCGGTAGGTGTGGATCTCATGCCACCATTTATAAAACGAGAGGCATTGTTTCGGAACTTGTCAAGTAGTTGTACTGCATATAGTGAATAGGCTATTGCTGTATTCCAGGGAAGATCGGACGTAACCCAGGTATAGAGCTCTCAGAGTTTGTTTGCCTGATCCCCATGAACTGCTTGCGAGTTTCTTTAAAAGTTGGAGTCTTTTTTTAGGGGGCCTTGTTCCTTATGTTCTCCACTTGGCTTTTCATGGTTAGACTACGGTCAAGTTTGACTCCTAGGTAAGTTGGATGTTCTTCTTTGGGGAGACTTTCATTTCCTATCTTTAGTTTGAGACTTTCTTTGGCTGCTTTATGGCTCTTCGTGAAGATGGTGTATACTGTTTTCGTGCAGTTTATTTTAAGTTTCCATTTCTGACAGTAATTGTGGAGCTTCTTGAGGTCTTCATTTCATTTCCCTGCTCCTACTATCGTGCTGTGATGTGTCTGCCAGACAGCAAGATCATCGGCATAAAGAGTCTTTTCTAATTTTAGCACGTTCGTCACACCGTTAAAGAAGATCAGGAACAAAGTGCAACTCAGACAGGAACCTTGAGGTAGGCCTTCCTCGAGTACTTCTCTTGACGAGTGGGCATTGTTTACCTTGGTTTCAATGTTTTGATCCGACAGGAAGAACTTGATCCATGTGTAAAGTTTGCCATGTATCCCGAGGTCCATCAATTTCATGAGTAGGCCTTTTCTCCACACTCTGTCGTACGCCTGTTGTAGATCAACAAAGATGGCGACAGTGTGTTTAGACTCCTAAAATCCATCCTGGATGTTTTGACTCAGTTTAAAAAGTTGATCTTCTGTGTTGCTACCTTTTCTGAAGCCTGTTTGGTGTGGGTTTAAGCTGTTAGTATTTTCCAGGTACCAGTAGAGGCGGTTGTTTATCATTATTTCCGCAAGCTTACCGATACATGATGTTAATGAGATAGGTCGGTAGCTTTTTGCTTCTCCAGGTGGTTTCCCATTTTTCAGGAGCGGTATAATCTGAGCGATCCTCCTTGCCTTTGGTATTCCACTCGTTCTCCACGTGGTATTTATCGGGGAAAGAAGAACGTCTTTTCCTTTAGCACCAAGGTTGCACCGCATTTCGTTGTGTATTTTATCCGGTCCTGGTGCTTTCTTTTCCCTAAGCTTTTTGAGGGCCTGACTGAGTTCCACCATGCTATAATCCTCTTCAAAAAGCGAGTTGTTCACAGTAGGAGCTTTTTCTTTATGCTTAGCCATATTTATGAGGAGTCTATCAGCCTCGGTTAGTCTGCCTGTCCTATTTACAGACGCGAAAAACCTGTTAAAATGTTCGGCTTTCTTCTGGTCTTCAGTGATGGTGCTGCCTGAAAGGAAAAGGGGTTTGGGGTTGTTTTTTTGACTTTCTCCCGAGTGGTTGCTGACAAGGGACCAAGCCTTTGTTCCATTGTGGCGAAGGTCAAGATCTTAGCAGGTTTGAATCCATTTCTCTTTTTTGGCTTTTTTTACTGTCACTTTCACCTGAGTCCTGGGTCGTTGTGCCTATACTAAGAGGTCCACGGTCAGAAAGCAAGTCAGGCATTCCGCTCGGTCCATCCCCTGTACCAAAACACTCTCAAACTGGCTGGTACCTTCTCAGCCACAGAGATAAAAAGCAGTAGAGGTGTTAGGTAGATTAGACACTTACTCAAGGAAGAGTAGGGGTGTGTTAGTGAGGAGCATAGCGTCTACCACGCATCGGTGGGTTCTGCCTCCTGTTCCTTGTGGAGCCACACCTACTCCCATCCTGTTGTTTTAACCCGTCTAGGAAACGGGGGGGGGTGGTTTGTTGGCGCCAACAACTCGCCATTCGCCAGAGCCGTGTCAGTGCAAACAGGGGTCACCACGGGCAGGTATGGTTGGCTGGATTGGGAGAAGCTGTTTAAGACGCTTAGGCATTTCTCAATATAATTTAAAAGAGACCCATCACCAGTCCTTGATCCCCGGTGTTGGAGTTAAAGAGTCAAATCTTGGTGCGCAGTGAGATGATGCTTGCTTTCCAGACTTTTGATAATTGATTGAATGCTGACTTTGCCTTGGCGGTTCGTGCTTTAACATCTGTTACACCTTTACCGTCAATGACACCTCCAATGTAGGTACAGGAGTCCGCTTTTTTCAGGGGAGTGACTTCCACTGTCACAGCAGAGCTTAAAACTTTTCCTAATTTCACTACTTTAGACTTGCCCGGATGTATATGTAGGCCAACACTCCTTGATAGACTGTTGAGTTCCTTGGTCTTTTCTTACATCTGGGCATGTGTGTGACAGAACAGCGCAGGGTCATCGGCAAAGTCCAAGTCGCCCAGCTGCTGCCACGGTATCCATTGTATTCCATTGTGTTGCATCTGGTGGCTTCTTTCATGACCCAGTCAATTGCCAGTATGAAGAGAAAAGGTGAGTGCAAGCATCCTTGTCGGAATGGTTCTGAGAGTTGTCCTTCGTGGAAGACTTGGCGGTTTGTTCCATCATAGGTGGCCTTCACAAGCTTGACGATTTTCTCAGGTATTCCCTAATGCCACATGAGCTTCCACAGAGTTACCCTGTCCACGCTGTTGAAGTCCTTTTCATAACCAATGAGGTTGACCACGAGTGGTGAATTCCATTCAAGCGATTGCTCAACAATAATGCACAAAGTAGCGATCTGGTCCACACATTATCGGTTCTTGCGGAATCCTGCCTGGTCTCTTCAGAACTTCTCGTCTGTTGCCAGTTTGATTCTCTTCATGAGTACCCTGTTAAAGACTTTCCCAGGTATGGATAGGAGTGTTATGCCTTTGTAGTTGATACAATTGTTGAGGTCTCCCTTCTTCGACAGCTTGATTCTGTGGCCTTCCTTCCAGTCTGTTGGTATTTCCTTCTCTTGCCAAAGATTTTCGAATAGAGCATAGAGAATTTCTACTAAAGTATCTTTATCTGCCTTAAGGGCCTCCGGAGGTATATGGTCGGGACCAGCTT